GCGCCCCCCCCCCCCCCCATGAAACGCGGCAATACTAGCGGCACCTGGCGCAGGTGTCACGAACTATTAAGCCCCCTGCATCATGGCACTCTTATAGAACCTTCTAAAGTCTAAACCTTAAACCCTAAACCCTAAACCGAATCCGTGGGAAGGAAGCCTGTGGAAGGAAGCCTCTAGGGAGCCCAAATTCCTAAACCCCACCTCGTAGGCCCAAGCCCTAAACCTTCAACTCCACTGCCCGTAAACCCTAAACTCCCCTGCCCCGAAACCCTAAAACCCCCCTTCCCCTACACCCCAAACTCCCCCACTGCTCCTAAACCCTAAACTCCCCTGCCCCTAAACCTTAAACTCCAGTCGCTTAAAGAGAGGTCGTGCCTCTCCTTTGACAAGGCTCCGGGTGCGCGGAGCTGTCGCTTCAAGGTCTTTTCGAACCCTATTTGGAGGGATCGTGGGGAGCTATAAGTAATGACAAAACTATAGTTATCTTATTTATAACCCTGCTGACTAAGTCCAGTGATCCTCTGAGTAGAAGTCCGAGTACTATGAACCAGGGGCCCTTGGAAGGGTTCCTAAAATTATAAAGGGTATATGAGGGTTCTATGATATGGGTTCGCTTCGGTTTGATTTATTAGGGTTTAGTATAGTGGCCTTAGTAGATACAGCATGCTTTTGTGATATTATCTTCGAGAATAGTCGTGAAAAGGACCCCTCAGATAAAATGCGGTAATTAGACCCGCTCCAGCAGTACCATGTCCCTAAACCCTAAACTTTGGCCCTAAATCCTAATAACAAGTAGAAGCTATTGCCTTGCATAGGGACAGGTCCCTTTGCAATTTTTGGTTTTTGGCACTGAACCCAAGCTCTTTAGGGTTAAGGGTTTAGCTCTTTAGGGTTTAGAGTTTAGCTCTTTAGGGTTTAGCTCTTTAGGGTTAAGGGTTTGCTCTTTAGGGCTTAGGGTTTAGGGCTTAGGGCTCAACTCAGCAAATCTCCCATGATCAGACTATGAGGTTCCATATTAGGGTTTAGGGTTTAGGGTTTAGGGTTTAGGTTCCATATACCCAGACCTCGTATCAGATGTGACAGACCTGCCCAACAAGATATCCCAGCAGTATGTCGCTTAAGTTAAGCCACTTGTGCGGATTCTGTGACTTAGATCCTGTGGGGAGGGTGTCTACATACTTCATCACACAGAATGCTTCTTATTCACTACTGCAGGCAATTATTGAGGCCCCTATATTGATTTTTCAGTGTTCTGGGCCTAAACCCTAAACCCTAAACCCTAAAACCTAAACCCTAAACCCTATATTGATTTTTCAGTGTTCGGGGCCCCTGAGAGGATCCCATCGAATTACAGTTTGAGGGGTAATCCTTCCAGAGATGGGATTTCATTTTAGGGTTTAGGGTTTAGGGTTTGGGGTTTAGGGTTTAGGGTTTAGGGTTTGGGGGTTAGGGTTTAGGGTTTAGGGTTTAGGGTTTGGGGTTTAGGGTTTAGGGACCGGCTCCAAAAAGGAGTCTTTAGAATTTAGCCCATACCTAAAGTAACCAATGTACCTTTGAAAATGGGTGATGATCTCAAGAATTGGTATATGGTTCCTGTTTTAAGGTACCTTGAGCTGAGTGGATAACCTTTGACCTTTTGGGGCTCATATAATCCTACTATAATTGAACAGGTTGACCTTTTTTTTTGGGCCCTAAACCCTAAACCCCAACCCTAAACCCTAAACCCTAAACCCTAAACCCTAAACCCTAAACCCTAAACCCTAAACCCTAAACCCTAAACCCTAAACCCTAAACCCTAAACCCCAACCCTACAGGTTTCTACCATAGGGTGCTCAGCCCCTAAGTCTCTGCTCTTTCGCAGTCCGGCCATCGTCTCGCCTCGGGGAGCAACGACACGGACTCGGGCCTGCTGCGTTTCTGGGAGAACGGAGTGCTACGGTTTAGGGTGTAGGCTTTTAGGCTTTAGGGTTTAGGGTTTAGGGTTCAGGGTTTAAGGTTTAGGGTTTAGGGTTTAGGGTAGGTTTCGAGTGATAATTCGCAATGCTCTTCCTGAGTATGATAGTTTAGTAAATGTAATATACCCACGGACCCCATTCTAATTGTTAAGGCCCATTCTGTAGAGGTGGTTTTAAAGGGCCTACAGCTGTACAAACCGTGAGGGATCCAACATGACTCAAGAGCTTAAGTCTTTCAGGTGTTGCGGTCTGAACCCTACCTGTAGTCTCCATTGTAGTTTTTTTTTGGGGATACCTTGTAAACTCCTTAATATATAATTGGTTAGACCAAAAAAAGGAACTACAATGGAGACTGTAGGTAACCCTAAACCCTAAACCTGCGGTTGAGTTTCCAACGTTCAGGAATCTGATTTGATGGATAGGGTTCCAGGGTCAGGGTTTCTAGGTTCAGCGGCAGTGTGAATCATATAGGCGCCTTAATGCTAATTACCTATACTATTATGGGGGTTCGTTATTATAGCCATGGTACAATATACCCCGAAACCCCATTTTAATGATTAAGGCCCCTTGATTAGAACCAGTGTCCCAGCTGGGACAAGCTATTTGGGGGTTTCCGAAAATAGGAGACCCTAATATAGCACCCTAAATAGTAGGATCCCAATTATAAGGACCCCGCAAAGAAGGTACCCCTTATTTTCGGAAACTCCCATTTGTCGTAGCATTTAAGCAACTCGCGGTTCCGGGTTGAGTGTTGGGCAGTACTTGCGTTGCGGCCCTGAGGGGTTGGTTAGGGTTAAGGGTTTAGGGGCAGAACTGGTGTTTAGGGTCTAGGGCTTAGGGTTTAGGGTCAGAAGTGGTATCTGGGCATATGGGCTTAGTTCAACATCACCTGAGGTTTCCAGTATCCCGGAGACTGCAACAAAGCCCGTGGCATAGGGGCCTTCTCGATTAGAACAGTATTCCTTAGGGTTCCTCTATATAATCATAATATTGTATACCCCTAGCTTTATATTGTATTCGAGCATTCCTGTCATAATATCCATATCCCCAATGAGCCTTGACACATTTGTGTCTTTGAACCAACCAACCAACCTAAACGTCGCTAGAATGAAGCCTGCTGGGAGGGTCGGGGGATGCAGTTTGTCACTAGGGAATAGAGGTAATAAGTAGTTGTATAAGCAAATTAAGAAATAGTGACTCTAAGCCCCCCAAACCCTAAACACTAAAGCCTCAACCCTAAAACCATTCTAGAAGCCCCTATGGCACCCGCTTAAGCAGGTCTAGGCCCCTCAGCCCTATACCTCGGGATTCTGGGCGAAGCCTTCATATACCGACTGTAAACCTTGTTGGGAGCCCATCATTGTGTCCTTTTGGGCTGCGGGGGTCAGGGCTTAGATTCTTTAGGGTTTAGGGTTTAGGGTTAGGGTGGGGCTCAGAGTTCAGGATTTGGGTTTGCCATATGTTAATGCTAAGTCTAAGTCTTTTTAGTCGTATATGGGCTGTGTGTACATTACGAACTTGAATTATTGCAACACTTGAGACCACCTCCAACTTGCACTTGAGACTCAACCCCCAAACCTTAAGCCCTCGAAACCCAAGCCTGTAGCAGTTCTCTAAGCCCTTCGTCGACACTATCTGCACCTCATGAACCGTAGTCTGGACTCCCAGCGCGAAACCTCGATCCGCCCCCAAGGTTTTGAACCCTACAGACCCTGAACCCTAAACCCCTAGACCCTAAACCCTTAAACCCTAAACCCTAAACCCTAAACTCAAGTCCGTGACTGCATGCTGGAAGCGAATTCTGAAGTGTTTGGACAGTGCTGTGTCGTTGGCCAATAGGTGTTATCGGATGAGTAGACGAACCTAGACCCTCACTATGGGCACATATCGAAAGCACAGCACGGGTTTAGTACCATATCTTCCCAAGAACCTACGGAGGAACAAGAAGTACTCTGCCCAAGAGTTTAAAGCTCTGGGCCCATCAAGTAGCTGCCATGGGTTGTTCGAACGGGACGGCGGCGACCACTACGGAAGAAATCCGGATAAGGCAGGTTTCATGGGTGTTGTGTTTTTTTGTCGAAGCGCGTAGACTGTGTGTATGTGGGTTTACGAGGTGTAGCTATGAAATGAGATGCCTGGATGGGATAGGATTGGATGGGATGAAAGGGTATGACACCATACGATATGATATGACACGCACGGCATGACTCGATATGACAAGGTATGTTGATGTGTGTGTGTGTGTATATATATATATATGTGTGTGTGTGGTGTGATACGAAAAGATCTGCTATGATACGAGATGATGTGCCGCGGAGTGATAGTGAGACATGATGGCAAGGTATGGTGAGCTCATACAAAGCAAAGCGAGATGACCTGTTAGTACATGTCATTGCTTGATATGTTGTTATATGTCTTGACATGTTAAGACTTAAGAAGGCTGCACGGTATGATCTGCTGTGAGAAGGCCAGGGTAACATGTGGTAGAGTATGTAATGATGGCATGGCATGACGCCCCATGATGTGATTCGGTATTATTTAGGTTGTGATAGGATGGGACGGGACATGACATGACATGACATGGTATGGCATACCATGCTGTGTTATCATGTGGTATGACCTAGCAGCTGGAATGTGACGCGGTATGCAATGATAAGCTATGCTTTGAGGTGATATGATGTCATGCTGTGTGGTTATGAGACGATCTGGCCATGATGCGATATTTCTCCAGCCTGTGTGTGTTTGTTTGTTACGCGCTCGTTGTTCTGATTGTTAGTTGCAGATGGAGGCCTCTGCAATCAGTTGTTTTGTGGCAACCTACTACGAGGAATAAAGACATGACATGATACGATTTTCTATGACACGTTATGACATGATATGCTGCGACAGGAAATGGCATGGTACTACATTGCCGCATATGATGTTGAAGAATAAGATGATTATCACGACGATGGTGATGGTGATGAGTGTGATGCATAGACTGATCATGAGCCGTCTTATGCTTGTGTGGTTCTTCCATCCGATGCTGCCCTCACCATCATACCTACCGACAGCGTGACTTGTGCGGCCTACCCTAAACCCTAAACCCTAAACCCTAAACCCTAAACCCTAAACCCTAAACCCTAAACCCTAAACCCTAAACCGAACCCCTCAGCTCTGAAGCCTTGGCAGTAGCACAGGGTTTAGGGTTTAGGGCATCGGGATTAGGCTTGAGGGTTTACAACTGATACCCCAAACGCCCGTGTTTGTAAGGACTCATGTAAGTAAACCGTAAAAGAAGGAACGCTCAACTTTTGGGTTCGTGTAGGGTTCAATTAATGTAGGGGCCTGTATGATTATCAAGACTAGTTTGGGGTTCCGTAGTATAATTATACTATAATGGACCCCAAAACCCTATTCTAATTATTAAGGCCCCTACAGCAGAGTTTTTGGACCCGGCCTTAGGGCGTTCCTGCACTCTCCATTGTAATTCCGTTTTGGTTTTGCAGTTAGCTTATAAGATCGTAAATGTGCAATAGGTTAAATCAAGGCAAGGAATTACGATGGAGACTATAGGTAAGTGCCAGGGGTAAGGCTTAGGGTTAATTAGCTGTGCCTTCTTATGGTTTCGGGTTATGGCGCCTGCGCGGATGATGTTCACGGGCGCTGTCTGGGCCCAAGTACCCCAATTACGATTTAAGGTAGCAAAGTCCTTCTTGAGGTATAGGTTTTGGAACGCTAGATATGTGGGTAGAAACCCTTAACCCTAAACCCTTAACCGCATACATGTCAGCACCATCCGGGCAGGGAGAAAGAGTGCAGCGTTGACGACGCATCTGCAGCTTCGACTGCTCCTCGTCCGCACTGGGTTTAGGGTTTAGGGTTCGGTGCAGAATTTGGATACCGGCGTCTGGATGGTTAGTAGCTGTAAAGTTCCCCATGTACCCCGAGACTTTGTTGATTTTTTTTCAGGCCGACCTCTACGCTAAGATTTCGGGTTGGGATTAGGGTTCCCAAAAATTAAAAACGTTAAAGATTACCTGCTTTTCTCCTGTTTTTGTTCGTTGGCCTTCGGGGTTATAATAATAAATCCTAAACCCTAAACCCTAAACCGTTTAATGCTATCAGAGTTTGTGGTGTTTAGTGTTTAGGGTTGCTTGTGTTCAAGCGTCATCCGACACTGTCTCACAGTGCTGAGCAGATTTTCTCACATCGACTATAGGTAAGAGCGGAGGAAGTTTTATGGTGTTCCCGGAGAGGTAGACTGTTGAGCTTTTTGAGTACGATATAAGCATTGTTCTTCTTCGAGGCGTATTGGTTCATGTTTGCCAGGTGTCTAAAGGTTGGCAGACCACCCTGAACACTGAACTTGTGTGTCTTGAAGTCATGTTTCATGATTATGCATCATACCCCTGGAATGTGTAGGAGCGAACCTAAACCCTAAACCCTAAACCCTAGACTATGCTCACTGCCCAGGGATCTCAGGAACGAGCATTATGGGCGGGCGTTTACCGTAAACTTCGCCGGGAGATTCAAAAACAATCCCTTTGCACTGCAATATGGAAAAACCCGACGAAACGTTTTTGGGATCGACTGATACCTTACAACCCCAAAGGTTAACCTTTACTCCCTCTAGGATACTGGACAAGTAACTGTTTTAATGTATTTATAGAAAAAATATATATATATATATATATATATATGTATGTATATATGAGCCCTTGTCATGACCCGCATGTATTATGTAAGTCTACGTAGCCCGTATTGTGGCCCTAATAGGGGGCGAGAATACCTTAGGTTGCCATAGCCTACCCAAACCTAACTTTTCGTAGAGTCCTTATAGCTTCCATACTAGGGTTCTTAACAAAGGCACTAAACCCTAAACCCTAAGCCCCTGAACCCTAAACCCTAACCCCCCCTCAACCCTAAACCCAGCTTTGTAGCCCTAAACCCTAAACCCTAAACCCTAAACCCTAAACCCTAAACCCCCCTTTGACCCAGAGTCGCCTTTTCATCGCCGAGCCCTAACCCCACCTCGCCAAACAACAGTCCCCAAAACTAGGGTTTAGGGTTTAGGGTTTAGGGTAAAATAAAACCTGCATTACCTGAAGGACCCTAAGCTGTGGGAATTGTGGTGTATGCCTAGTTATGGGTAATGCAGGATGTAGATCAGCAACGGTGGCGTTGAGGGTTTAGGGCTTAGCCCCCTCTGAAAAGCACACACTCACACACGGATAGACCAAGCTAGTCCCTACTCTCCAAACTCTCGGCCCCCTAAACCCTAAACCCTAAACCCTAAACCCTAAACCCTAAACCCAAGCTCCCTGCCCTGAAGCCTCACACCCGAACGAAGGAAGCCATGCCACAACTTCCCACAGCCCTGAGCCCTAAACCCTATACCCTAACACCTGCATTTTGGTGCGTTGCTCTTTTGTCATTGTTGCCCTAGAAGCGTCGCAAGGAGGTGTTGTTTTTCTGTTGTTTTGAAGGTCTGGGAATTTGGGGGTTTGGAGGCTCGGGTGAACCCTAATCCTGTCTTTGCACGAGTTCCCCTGAAGCCTAAAAGGGTCCCACGCACCTATATAGTAGTTTAGGGTTTCGGGTTTAGCCCTAAACCGTTAGTAGAATGTAGGGATTTCTATATGAGTTACTCTTATGATGTAGGGTCGTATCCCCCATAACAGTACAGAGGACCGTTTGTGAAGCACACCCTCACGGTTGAGGGTTCAGGAAGTCCAGGGCTTAGGGCTTAAAACCTTAAAGCCGTATTGCTGGGCTCAAGCAAGAACTCTAGGCACCGCAGCAAACCGTACATAAAGCTCTACAAAGGATCTAAGATTAACTTCGTCTTGGCCCAGATTTCAAGAAGCACAACTCCAAATATAAGTTCAACATCACCAAAAAATTATTCAATGACAAGTTACCCTAAACCCAGTAGCTGTGCCCACTGAGAAAACCATTCAGCCCTATCAGTGTAATTATTTGAAAACCGTACCACCGAGGCCTCTACACTGAATTGCCGCTCCGAGGGGAGCGGCCCGCCCTAAGCATCGGCGGTGTTGTAAAGGGATGTCTGTCGGTTGTGACTATGGCTATGGTTTCATACAAGTTGCTGCAGGCTTTTGTATGTTTCTTTCAGGGTTGAATCGGCGGTTTATTTTTACACATAGGCTGAGTGTGTTCTTTTGTTGAACAGGTTTCTAGGGTTTCATATCTATTCTTGCAGGTTTCCAGAATACATATAGTTAGGCTAGATAGCCTTCTACCTGTTTTCTAAGGCTGTTGTACGCCTCGTAAATCTGGGTTGAGGGCGCAACTCCAGTTGCCAAGGCAAAAGGTCGCAAAACCCCCTAATTAAACCCCAAACCCTTTAAGACCTTAATTAAGCCGTACCTTAAGCTACCATAACCTGATTTTCTGCAGGCTTTTATTTTTTGGAGGGAACCTGCAGAAAGTAGGTTATGGTAGGTGACGGGAGACCTTACCGAGAGGGGGCTGTTCATACCGATTTGTGGGTTCAGGGCTCAGGGGATACGTGTTCTTTTACGCGGAACATTGGGCTTCATGTTTTTTGATCCTACAGACCACACTACAAAATGGGGCAACCCCAATTAGGGTCCTTTTTCGGCTACTTATTACCGATTACCAAGTCTCCGATCCTCCAATTAGACAAGGGTTTTCTCATGCCTCAAGTCAACTCAGCTTTTGCAACCCTAGCCCCGAAACCCCTGACCCTACATGGCAGAATCGCGGGACCATGTTGTGCAAAGACAGGGCACTAAACCCTAAACCCTAAACCCTAAACCGCAAACTGCTTCGCTCGAGCAACGTCTGGAGTGGCCGGCATGGCGAGGCGACTTCGTGGCCAGCTTCTGCAGGAAGGCCGTGTGGTGCGGAGTCATGGATGTTGTGTCCCCAGAGACTCCAATATCCCTTAATTCAGGAATATACCTTAAATTCTAATAGGATTCCTAATGCAATTTAAGGTATGTTCCTTAATTAAGGGATATTGGAGTCTCTGGGTCCCCTAAACCCTAAACCCTAAACCCTAAACCCTAAACCCTAAACCCTTAATTAAGGGATATTGGAGTCTCTGGGTCCATACGGGGGGCCTTCAGCCTGCAAGGCAATGCGGCTGTGGATGCTCGTCTGCAGGAGAGGCCAAAGATCAAGAAGACGGCACCCTAAACCCTAAACCCTAAACCCTAAACCCCTAAACCCTAAACCCCTAAACCCTAAACCCTAAAGCCCTAAACCCTAAACCGAGTGTGGCGGACTCGGAGCTCTCGTCGGAGACGGCAGTGTTGCCAGGCAGGGCGGAGACGAACGAGACTTCGGAAATGCACCTCTCAGGCCTCAGGACTTTTGAACACGAGGCCTGCAAGTGCTGTTGCGTTCAGTAGCAGTTCGACGATATTCCTAATAATCAATAAAGGTGTAGATGGCCCTTAATAGTAATAGTACCCTGATTATCGACTGTGACTGTCTGGGGGGCAGTACCCAGCATTTACTTCAGGTTAGTCGACTGGTCAAGGATGCCCTCAAGTCCAAATCATACAGGCCCTGCTCTCTAAAACCCTACCTGTAACCCACAACCCTACAAAATTTCAGGTGCATCATAGGGTATAACCCCCCGCCCCCGCCTTGAACCGTAGGCTTTTTTGGGAATCCCCTTGGGAAACCCAAGACCCTGAAGCCTTGTCGAACCCAATCTCCGAAGCAATGGGGATCCCCCCTAGACCCGCTAATTAAAGAGGTTTAGGGTTTAGGGTTTAGGGTTTTGGGTTTAGGGTTTAGGGTTTAGGGTTTAGGGTTTAGGGTTTTAGGGTTTAGGAGTCAGAACTCACAACTGACTAGTCTGTAGGGTTTGGAGCTCCAGGAGCCCCTAAACTCTAGACCCTAAACTCTCATCCCCAATCCCCAAACCCTAAACCCTAAACCCTAAACCCTAAGCCCTCAACTTCCCTAAACCCAAAGCCCTAAACCCTATGCCGCGCCAGAACCCCATGAACTCCAAACCTGAACTCTGATGTCGGATCAGTGGACTGTGCAACTATGTAGCGAGTTCAGGGTTTTGGGTTTTGGGGTTTAGGGTGGCTTTCGATTCGATGGTGCGAACACGTGTGCGAACAAAACATTTTTCCGCGGGACATACTCAGCACCACGGCACCACAATCCTACACGCCCGTGGCCTTACTGCAATATAGAAGTCCGAATACTTACCTGCACTGTTTTGAGGCTTCCTTAATAGAAGCACAGTTTCGTATGCCCCAAAACCCTATTCTCATTAGTAAGGCCCCTACACTAGCCGAGAGTTTCCTGACTTCGAACTTTCAAGAGCTAAGCCACAAGACCCATAATCGCACACACCAAAACCCCCAGAGCCCTTGAAATCTGAACCCTACAACCCAATATCTCGATCCATAAACCCGCAGCCAAAATCCTTTATCCCAAAGCCCTAAATCCTAAACCCTGGACCTATACGACTATGTATATATATATATATACACTATGTATATATATATATATATATTGATTCCTTATATGTGGCCCATACCCCACTCTTCACACTCAGCCGCCGAGGTGTCAAAAAGAAGAGTGGGCACAGCTTCAACAAAATGCGAAAGCTCAACCCGGCCACAGAGGCGTCCGTGAACATTTCGACACGAGTGTTATATAGGGTTCAGGGTTTAGGGTTTAGGGTTTAGGGTTTAGGGTTTAGGGGTTTAGGGTTTAGGGTTTAGGGTTCAGGGTTTAGGGTTTTAAACTTGGGATATCTTGGGGACTTGTAAGTCTGTTACAACTGTAGTTTTCAGAAATCATGTAGTTTGTCAGGAAGTCCCTTACTTGGAGGATGATGGGACTTGGTAGTTTATGAGTGCATAATTGAAAATATAAGTATAAGTAATCAAAACTGTAGCTGCCTTATCTACAACCTTAGTTTCTGCACAGAGGCCCAGAAGGTTTATACAAATTTATATATATATATATATAGTTATAGTACCGTAATTTTTGTGAAACTAGGATCCACAAGGCAAGACAGAGATGGTCTTTTGGCACTTAAACTCTTAACCCAAATCCTAAACCTAAACCCTACCATAAACCGGTCATAGTCCAAGATCTGGGAAGCATAGGATTCAGTGGCGTCGCACAGTTGGAAAGGCAAAAGTTGTGGGATCGTTGGAAGTTTATAGGGTTTGGGCAGTCCAGTGACCATCGATTTTGATGACATCATAAGTGCTGCTACTGCGGCGCCTGCTGCTACTACTACTACTACTACTACTACTACTGCTACTGCTACTGCTACTGCTACTGCTACTGCTACTGTCACCACCACGGCGACGACACTACTACTACTCCTCCTCCCACTACTACTACTACTACTATACTACTACTACTACTACTACTACTACTACTACAACAACTACTACTACTACTACTACTACTACGACTACGAACGACGACGACGACTACCACTACTACTACGACTACTACGACTACTACGACTACTACGACTACGAACGACGACGATGACTACTACTACTACTACTACTACTACTACTATTACTATTACTACTAGTACTACTACTACTACTACTACTACTACTACTACTACTACTATGACGACGACGACGACTACTACTACTACGCACCTGGCTCGTACGGCGCCCGCTGCTGGGAGCAAAGTCGCGAAAATGTAGCAATGCAGAACTTGCAGCAAATTACAGTACTTTTGTGTTTTCGTTCAGAAACTTGTGTTTTTGAGGGTCAAAGGGCGTCGGGTGATAAACTATGTAGTTGGTATGCAAATTACCTTCTTCGGAGTGTAAATACCATGGAATTGTGTGCGGTCATTGCGATTCTAGGCTTCAGAGATTTTCGGGTAAATGGCGCTGGTATTTCTTGTTGATTTATGAGCAGGAAGTCGGTATGCCACTGCCACTACTGCTACTACTACTACTACTACTACTACGACTACGTCTTCTTCTACTGCTACTACTACTACTACTACTACTACTACTACGACTACTTCTTCTTCTACTGCTACTGCTACTGCTACTGCTACTGCTACTGCTACTGCTACTGCTACTGCTGCTGCTGCTGCTGCTGCT